AGGAGGCTAGCTTTCCCTCCATATAGACTTTTAACAAAGATTTAGAAAGCAGACAGTTGCCAGGCCCACAGCACCCAGAGAGATGCTATTGAGAGGCAAATTCTCCAGGGCCAGAGGATCAAAGGTTGGTGGTATCCACTACATAGTTCTTACACCACCCAGCTCACTTATTCCAACCACAGTCTCCTCAAATGTCTCTGGGTCAAAATGCTGATATTCATCTTCTTTGTAGTCCATCTATAAATTTCAAGGTGGGCATTCACATTTGTCCAGGACTACGACCAATTGTACCCAGGTACCATCTACTAATGTCAACTCACAGGATTACCCACAACTACAATTCCTTAGTGGTATATGGGTTCATCATCACCAACCACTTCAAAAAACTACTGCTACAAGATTTGTAAGTTATTTGACCCATAGTGACAGGAACCACCTTTGTGAGTCAATTCTACAGTCCCACTCAAGACCTCTTTAGAGCCGGGCAATGATGGTGCACACCTATAATCCCAGGACTTGGGAGGCATAGGCAGACAGATCTCAGTGAGGCCAGCCTGATCTACAGAGTTAGTTCCAGGACAGCCAGAGATATTACACAGAGAAACCCTGTCTTGAAAAACAAAAACAAAAATAATTCTTTAGTTGTTTCATTTCTTTCTTCTTTCTTCCTTATTTTTTTTTTTTTTGTTTTTTTGTTTTTGTTTCTTTGGGACAGGTCTCACTATGTAGCTCTGGCTGTCTAAGAACTCTCTCCCTATGTAGACCATGCTGGTCTCAACTAAACTCACAGAGATCTTTCTGCCTCTGCATCCTGAGACTGGCATTGCCACCAGACTGGCCTGTTTCCTCTTTCAACAAGACACCTTCTCTTCACGTGCATGCCACATTCTCATGTTTAAGTCTTTATCTCCCTCACTAATTCCAGTGTTATAAAACTTCCATCCAGAGTCAGCCAGGCTGAAACCCAGGAAGCAAATGAAACTTTGCTCTTTCTACCAAGTCGTCAAGAATCCATATTCTAAACATCTTTTGAGTTCTTCCCCTTTGTTTTATCACATTCCCATCATTGTTGATTATGTTACAAAAACTACCTCAAATCTCTCATCATACATTGCTTCTCTCTACAGCATTCTACACGTTCTTTCCAGCACACTCACCCACTACACAAATGCTAAGTGTGAAATTCCTCAGCAAACAGTAGAAACCCAGCCACATGAGCCTTGTCATTCATCTACTCTCTCCCTCTCCTTTGACCTCACCATGGCCCATGACCTCTAGTGTGACCCAAACATTCCTCTTTCCAGAGATGTGTTAGGCTTTGGGGTGCCTCAGCATACATGCTAGGGTTGTTCTGCCAACCACCATTGGTCCCACCATACCAGCATCTACAAGGCAGACACTGGCTAAAGTGTGATGTAGCCCTTAGCCTAGCAGAAAAGGAAGCTCTGTAAAGGTGACTAAAATGACTAAAGGTGACTAAAATTTGTCACATAGAAGAGAATCTAACAGAGACATACCACTGACAGATGCCTATGTATACACTTAAAATCAGAATGGTCTTTGTCCTTGCTTCCTGTGTGCAAATAATGCTATCTCACACGGAAGGGCCTGCTGGTGTTTAATCAGCAAACAGAGAAGCCTAAGGTACCACAAAGGGTAGCAGATGTCACACTGACAACCTGTATGTCAACAAGGTTCTGACTTCAATCTACACTAAATAGGCTATCACCTACAGCTACTTCTTTTATTACACAAAAGAACAATCTTGCTAACAAGCCTGGCTTTGCTGCATCCACAGTACTCTGCTTCATTAGCACTGTCTATTATAGGTAATTCTGAATATATTGACAAAAATAATATTTTAAAATATTCCTCTAAAATTTTTTAATTGATCACATAATAATTCCTGTTATAAGTCTATAACTCAATTAAACTCACATTACTGAATTCAGCAATCTTTCAAGAAATTTTGTTGCCCATAAAACTGCACTGCGGTGCATCACAGAACTTTTTGGTCAACAGTAGACCACACATAAGATGGTAGCCTCATAAAAATATAATGAAACTAAACAATTTTGAGTGTTTAATCACTTTACAGTGGTCATGTGGTCACAGAACAATGCTTTACTCATGTTTGTGGTGACACTGGTATAAACAATCCTAAGGTGCTGCCATCTGTACAAAAGCAGAGTCGGACAAACATTTGACAATGATAAAACTATGTCAGTGGTTCACAAATATCCTTGTTATCCTTTCATCACGAAATTATACTCCTTTTCCTTAAAAGCTTATAAAGTTATATGCCATGTTACATTGGTAGCAGCATCTTGTATCGTGTATTTCCTGTGCCTTATTTTTTCCTATGCTTACTTAATTCTGCTTTGTTCATGGCTCTAGGAGAAATAGCCAGTATCATCTACATTATGCTATCATTTAAGTATGTAGTGGGCTATACCATCTAGGTTTATGCAAGTACACTCAATCTAAGGTGTTTTCACAATGACAACCCCCCCACACACAGTGATGGATTTCTCACATCTTATCCTGGCTGTTGAGTAATACATGAGTACACAGTAATGCCCTTGCTATTACCCTAAGGTGTCAATAACCTATGTTCATTACTTAGAACAGTCTACTTACTGTGCTGAAAAATACCATTAACTTAGTTTCAGTTGGACTATAGTATGCTCCAGAATGCTTTAATTGAAAAAAAAAAAGGTCTTAAGAGAAATGCTAAAATGATATTGAGATAATACTCCTTGCTTAACAGATTGACAAAAATCTAAAGATTTGTTGACAGACTGCTGGAAAGGCTGTGGAGGTGCAGGAACTTGTCTGTTCTTAGTGGCAATGCAAGGTGGTTCAAATACTTTGAGGGGAATTTGGTAATACACTCCAAAAGTGCATACATACTTACCCTTTGATACTGCAATTCCTCCTCAAATATTTTCCCAAAGATAAAATAACTAAAACACAACAAAGCATATGCACAAAGCGCAATAGTAAGACTGAAAAAAGCCTATGTCCATAAACAGAGGGCTGCATGAGTGAGCCATGACACAGACTCTTAATGGAGAATCAGGCAGCCAGAAATGAGAATGGCTGCCTTTATAAATGTCTAGGAAGCAATCTCTAGCCCATCTCATTATGTGAACAAAGAAAGGCTGACAGAAGTGTATGGAATATGCTTGTGGTATCTAAAGGGAAGTGACACAATAGGTGGTGTGTGTGTGTGTGTGTGTGTGTGTGTGTGTGTGTGTGTTTATATGTATACACATACACACATTAAAAACAAAGATAAACAGTAACTTTTAAGAGGAGGGTAGTGAGATGGCTCAACAGTTAATGGCGCTTTTGCCACTGACTTTGACAACCTGGGTTCAATTCCCTGAACTTAAATAATAGAAGAAAAAAACTAACTCCTGCAAATTGTCCTCTGACACACACATTATGGCACACTGCACCCTTACGCCAAATAAATATTTTAAAAAACAGTAAAAAAAAATTAGCCATATAAAGAGAGATCAGGATGGCTGGGGCTTTATGAAGTTTTAACAGACATATAAAAGCTGTACATTTATATGCATGTATTTTGATGAGCTTGGAGTACCTAGAGGCTGTTTTGAGTATATATTGTTCTGTAGATTTGAATTTGGACTTGTTTTTCAGTTATCTACTCAAAGTCAAAAAAAAAAAAAACCATCCAGCAATGAGCACCCCCTGAATTCTTCATGAACATCAAAAGATACTAAGGCTCTTGGGGCAAACAGCTGATATAGAGCAAGAATTATAACCAGGATCTTGAAGTACTATATAGCAAAAAGATGGCCAGAGATTATTAGGGCTAAAAACAGAAAAACATCAGCAAAGAGAATATGTGCTTCACTGGGTACATTAATAGACAAATGTGCACTTCCCTTATAGAAACATACATTACTCGGTAAATAAAGCATGGTGGGCTAGAGCAAAAGCATCTGCAGTCCTTACTGAGCTGACAGATCAGAGACGGATCATCACCCCATGTTCTGCCCCCTGAAAATTGCTGCCCAATCGATAATCTGGTGCCTTCAATAAATGATTTGCCATAAAAAATATTTTTAAAACAGAGAAACTTGTAATTACAGACATGGAATGACTTGTAAAATTTAGGTGAATAGTTAAGGGGAAAAATAGTTTCCCACAGAATGTTACCATTTAAAATAAAAAAGAGAGAAAATCATATTTCCTTACATAAATCATAATTGATTTTGAAAGATACACAAGGAAGAAATGTTTTCTCTAGCTGCTTTTCAGGTGCCAGAAAGCAGTACATAAAGGGAATGTTTAACATATAACCCTTTGTGACATTAAGCATTTTAAAATACTTTTAAAAACACATGCACACCTACACATACATAAAATCAAATAGGATAAAAACATAAACCAAAGTGTAGGTATATAAGGAAATAGTTTTCATTATTAAACACTGAGGCATTTATCCGTCAGATATCATATGTATATACCTATAAATATTTAAGTGGAAAAAAGCAAACCTGGAGGAAAATGTTAAATATAAGTTTTGAGTGTATGAAAATGTATTACACAGATGTATCAACTTCTCATGACAAAACTCAAAGTGAAATAATAAAAATCAATAAAAGCAGTCTACCCAACTATTTTGCACAGAAGATGAAAGCCTGAAGCCTCTCTTTCTTTTTTTGCTAAAATAGACAAGTGTCACAGCCTCGTCCAACAGAAGAAATAAAGAAGCACATGCAGGGAAAGAGAAGGGCTGGAGAGGCATGAGCTAGCTCCCTGCTGAGACCTGTAGCAAGCACAGATGCTCAACATCTAAATCACCAGCTCAAAGCACATCCTAAAATTGATGTCACGGTGTGAAGACACTGGCCACTTGGGTGGAGAGAGACTTTCTAACCCCAGCAGCTCCTTAGTCAGAGGACACAAGTGACCCTGGTAAGGACTGTCCCAGACTGGCCACAGGCAAACTGCAGAGCACTTACTTTTTGCTGGCCTCACAGACATCTGTGATATTGGAGAAAAGGTGATGCCGCTCTGTTTTAGTCATCGTGTCGCTCAGTTCTTTCGAATCTTTAAACATCCGTATCAAGATCTCCAAGCTGAGTAAGTAAGAATGCTCGGAGGATATGACTTCAAAGATGGCCTGGCAAAGGGAAAAGTAGAAATACTTCATTCATTGCTTTAACTGAATAATTAAACACTGCTTTTACTGTTCTCATTGGAATGACAAGGAAAAGGTATTGCCAAACTGAAGACTGTCACTGCCTGTACATAAGGAAAAAAGTTAAAAAGCCAGGATGACTTTCCATGGCATCCTGAGGTCATGCCTTTGCCAAAGGGTACAATCTATGGAAGGAAGTAGGGCATGTCATAAAATCTCACTGTGACACTAATTAACCTTTGGGGGTCACCTCCTCTAGCCCTGCTTTCAAAGCACATTGCTTCAGGGACAACAAGAATTTATTATCATTGCCTCACAAATAGTCCCCTGCCCCCTTCTTGTATTTGTTCCTTCTCTCTGTTTTAATATGACTAATTTGCAGTTAGCAGCAAATAGTGTGTGGCATGACCGCACCTACCCTTAGAAGGTCCTTAGCAGCCACAGGAATTCTTTTATATAACTCATACAATTGAAAGTAATTCCATCTTCTCAACAAGCCACCTACTCTACTCTCATCAGTGTCTCAAGAAGGAACAAAGCGCCCTGGGCAGAGACCCTTGGTGACAAACAGGGAGATTTCTGATGACTATGAATGATGAAATGCCAGGTCACATCTACAGAGACACCAACGCCCTGTGTAAAGAATTCATCTACCTCTTGAACAAAGTCAGACTTAGATTCTCCACTAACAGGAATGCTAGGAGAATTTCTCCGTGGGGGGTGGGGTGGGGTTTGTGTAAACATTCTTACAGGCCTGGGTACTTTGACCTTTAGGTCTTGTTTCCTTCAAGCCCCTGCCCAGAGAGCACAGAAGAGGAAGGGTAGATGGGAGGACAGACACAGGCAGGTGGAATCTCAGCTGTCTGTGGCTGGTCTACATCTTGCATATCAAGTTAGCAGAACTAACTTGTTCAGAGTTAACAGTCTTTACACCCCTCCCCTCCCTTTTTAAACATCTGTAAGGTTTCGGAGGCCTTAACCTTAAAGATTCTGGTCTAGCCTCAGCTAAGCTCCAAGGAGTTAACTGACATAACTATTTAAAAAAATAAACAGTAAGAGCATTAAAAGTTAGCCTGTATCTTGTACAAGTCTAGGCAATAAACACAACTGTCCCTAAGAAATATAAACGAACTCAAGAAACTTCTCCATTCCTGAACAAAAATGAAGGATTTTGTGCCTTGGAATGACTTCAAATATTTTCAACAACAAAGGCTTCTTCAATCACATCCAAAAATACAAAGACAGACAAAAGACACATTGAACTATGCAGAACAGATCACATGCAAAGGTGAGTGCAGAAAAGTCTATGGTAGTAATTTGACTATATCACTAAAGAGGCTTTGACTACTGGAGAGCACAGAAGAGTATGCCTGAAGAAGAGAAAGGGGTTAGAGCATGAAATGTAAGCTGCCATGATATTTGTATGAGAAATCTCAAAAAGATTTTCAGAATTCAATAGAAATAGACAAAATCCAAATGCATAAGATGTAAAAGACAGATTGTTTTAATACACTTAAAACTTTGGAGAAATTCTTGAATTTGTCAACAAAGAGATAAATATTATTTATTCCATAATAAACAGCAAAAAAAAAAAGCCCTAACCTCTGCTGACCCTTAGTAAAACTGATATAGGTGTTCAGAGAATGGAGCATCACACAGAGGCTTAAACAATGACCAAAATGAATATACACCATCACAGACAAAGAAAGCCCTTAATATGCTGAGTATAAAAAGGGAACAGTTTAACATTTAATGCATATGTCTGTATATAGAATACCTAATTTAAAAATATAGATTGAAGGATACACAGCAACTTGTAATTTAACTTCTCTCAACTGAATTAAGAACACAAGATTTTATTAAGTTTTATTGTCTTTTAAATATGGTACACCTGTGGGTAACCTCAAGTGCTATGCTATATTCTTTAACCTTTATAAACTTAAAAAATACCATTATTGTGGAACCACATATTTTTCCTTTATTCCATGCTATTTTTAAGACAAGGGCAGTTTTGCATCTATGCAGAATTAATTTACCTGTATGTTAAAGCACATTATGTATACATTATATATTAAGATGCATAAGATGAGAGAAAGTGACAATATTATGAAAATGAGCAAGGTTGGGCATGTGTGATGGTACACACCTTTGATCCCAGCATGAGGAAAGCAGAGGCAGTGGATCTCTGCAAGTTCTAGGCCAGTCTGGTCTACATAGGAAATTCCAGGAAAGCTAGGGTTACATACAAATACCCCGTCAAAAGAACAAAACAAAGCAAAAAAAAAAAAAAAAAAGGAACAAAAATTTTAAACTGTATCGATTTAAATTTCAAGTTACAAAGTTCAATTATCAACCCTTTTTCTTATGTAAACTTGATTTTGGTGTACATCTTAATTTACAGAAAATTTGCAAAAGCAGTTCCTAAGACCCTGTATTCTTTTCCTGGTTTTCCCCACACAGTGTGCACTGCACTATCAGGGTCTATTGTGTGGAGACTACTTTCCCCAGTTTTCCCCATTCAGTGTGCACTGCACTATCAGGGTCTATTGTGTGGAGACTACTTTTTCTAGTTTTCCCCATGCAGTGCGCACTTCACCATCACAGTATATTGTGTAGAGATTAACATAAGTACTAGACTCTGATTTTGGCTTTTTCAGCTCCAGGACCTCCCATCTGTAGTTCAATGCATTTCTTCCAGGTGCTTTGCTGTTTAAATGCAAATGATGTCGTGACACTTAAAACATCATTTCTTCTGTTCTGGGGGCTAACATGGGTGTTGCTTTATTCAAAGACAAAACTTTCTGTGTTCATAGAAAGAAAACAAATATGTTTCCAAACACTGACCAAGCACACACAGTAGGGGAAGACAAAAGGTGTGTGTGCCACCCTGCATCGCTCAGGATACAGAACATACCTCTTGTCTCTTTCTTTCCTCTTGGCTCACTGTTTGAGACAGACCATTTCGTTTCACCTAGAAGAAAAGGCAAAGTAGCATTTATCTCACTGACTTTAAAGGCTTGCTTCCTACATAGGCACATTCTTTTAAAGTGAATTAAAAAGAAATTAAACCAAAAGTAGTATTAGATTAGCATAATTCAATGTAAAAACAACAACAAAAAACAGCCAAAAAAAAAAAAAAAAAGCCACAATGCTATTAGTTCAAGTTTTTGTTTTAGTCTTTAGTTCTGGCTACTTCCAGACTATCCAATTACCCCAGGGTCAAAAGAAGAAATCTGAAATCAAAGGAAATGTTTGCTGGCTCTGAGTGTTAACTGAGCAGGTTTACACACAGAAGTCATTCTATCACATAACCACTGGACTGTCAGGGCTCTACAGAGAGCTACAATCCAGAAAAAGCTCCTCCCACAGCCTCGCCAAGCACCAGAGGTCAGCAGATTTAAACTTGACGAGCCAAGATATCAATCTGACTGTTCTTTGAGAAGCAACAGCATACCTGATAAACACTTTGGTATCATCATTTGAGTTGTTGAAATATGAATTTCAACCAACATCCTGTTTCACTGCTATAGCTCCCATCAAAACTCCAATTTCTAAACCCAAGAAGAACATAGGAGGCCCACAAACTCCAAAAACCAGAAGCCTGGTTTTCTTCTGACACGCCTTACACTTCTGTCAACATAGGAAAGATATTCCTGATTTTCAGTCAAAGATTCACTTGACAGAAGACTGTCATGAAGAGTAACAATTGCCCCTGAAAGTGAGAGACACAGATGCAAGAGAGAAGACTGAACTTCTTCAAGGAGGGACATGTATAGCAATGAAACAGGACCATCTTTAAACCTTTTGTTGTCTTATATTCCTAAAACATTAAGAACTGTTTCTCTGGGCTCATTATTAAACTGATCCCTAACATTTTTCATCATATGCTTAAAAGCCTAAAAGAACATGTCTGATAGTTGTTACATCCTCAAATTTTAAAATGTATTCAAAGTAACATGAAAGTTGGTATCATTTGATGTCCATTATCCATGTAAACAACTTTCCTTAGCAGTTGGACAGGTCACATTGTTCTCTTCTTAAAAGCATATTTTCAGGTCAATTTCCCTGTAAAATTTCATAATGTAATAGAAAAATCTATGTGTTTGAGTCTCCTACTAACCACCCCCGAAGTACTTTGAAACAGGACATATTTTTCAAGTTTAATTCTGTAAAATTCCCTATAATACTATAGTGATCCCCACATATAAAGAAATTCTCCTTTAAAGAGAATAACTCACAGATGTCATTAACAACTGATGGGAAGGTGGAAAGAAGACTCTGTCATAATAGCACCTACAAATGTACTTTTAGAAAAATACTCAGAAGCTGAGGTCTAGAAGATGAAACCTTAAAAGTATTTCCTAGCCACCATCAAAAGATCTTCATGAGGTCCCAAAGGAGTGACACATTCCCAGTTATGAAGGCTGGTGGTGAATAATTCTCTCTACACAGTACTGTTGTGGAAAATGCAGAAACACCATTGTCTTTAGTTTGCTTTTGATAACAATTTAGAGGGCAGTAGAACAGAAAGTAATCCCAAATCAATAGGAAAATCAATAACCATTTATCACTTATTACATGTTATGAACTGCATTGAGCATTTTATATATTTTCCCATTGGATTCTCATAAAAATTCTGGAAGATTAATAGTGTTCACAGATGGTGACAACTGAGGATTAAGATCCAAAAGAAAATAGCTACTAGGAGCAAGGCCAGGATTGGGGCTATGCCTGTCCAACTGCAAGGCTTCACTCTTGATGATTTACAGTCACCCTCTGCTCTCTACAACAGGCACCCCATTTCTAGGGCTTGGCTATCATCATTAAGACTCGGTCTCATGCCAGCTCTGCAACACAGTTTCCATGTGTTTTTTGGACCATGCCCATCATGGAATGCTCTTATCTTTACCCACCATCGTGACCCGAGGTCAACCTGTCAGCAAGAACTCATGGGTAAAAAGGCTTCTGTACGTGTTTTAATAAGGCAGGAGACTGGCCAGAAAAATGAAACCCTTCAGAGCTCCACTCGGTGAGCCAGGGCAGGAACTTCACAGGATTTCCTGCCTGACAAAGTCGTGGTGGATGGATGTGCAGTAAGGCACAGGGCCCACAATCCCTGCAGGTGAGGTCACTGGCAAGCCTTTCCCCACTGTTGGCTTATCTATCCAAGTGGAGTTCAGATCTCAAATTCTGCTGGGGAGGAAAATGAAATACCTGCTAAGAGACACACAGAGATGACAGCTGGTATTTATGAGATGAAGAGTACTTCATACTACCAAAGGGAGAAATGAACAGCTGACAGTTGCCCTATTGAGGGGAAAGACAAGTGTTTCGAAGGGGTTGAACGACCGATGCAAAGAACTACCACTTCTCTGCAATACTAATGCAATAACTACAAAATATTCCTTTTACCAAGTCATGCATAAAAAACAGTGGCTCCCCAGACAAACGGAGTGCCAAACAAAGACTCCAGGAAGTGTTCTTGAATTATGATTAAGGAAACTGAATTGGAGTACATTCAGGGAGGCTGAAAGTTCACTCTGGTGAGCTATGACAAAGTAGTCCCTTGTGGCTGGCCGCCAAGGTCACAGGGCCTGTCCTCCCTCTGTCTATCCTCCCGTATCAGCCTCTAACACTATAGACAGTGTGATAGAAGAATCATTTTGTCCACCTGAGGGCCCTTCCACATTCAACTCTAAATTAAGCAGCAGCTGAGGTGTCTGGCAGCTGTCTGGCAGCACAAGGTCATGAGCCCATCAGATGAGCTGAGAAGACTGGGGAGTGTGGAGAGAGGACCACAGAGACAGCGATGTGCAGTGCCACTCAGAATGCAGAAGTCAGAGAGAACCAGAGGAGAGGAGAGCACAGGCACATAATGCAAGAGGGATGAAGAAAGGGAGGGAGGCGAAGTGCAAAGGAAGGGAAAAAGAAAGAAGAATGTAAACAAAATGCTTTGAGAAAGCCCTTTTAAAATACATATTCAAAATCATAAGCAGTGATCTTGTCAGTAAACTTGAGCCAAAATGACTAGAAGGTCCAAGGCTTTTTTTTAATTATAAAAACTAACTGTGCAGTTTTAAATGTTAGGTGCTTTCTGAAGTTTGTAAGCTTTCCCTAAGAGAATCTAAAGAATGGTCAAGTTTATTCCATGTCCCCACGTGTGTTCCTTGTTTTGATGTATGAAAAAAGGAAAAACAACATACTAGCTACTGGGACATATGAATCCAAATTTTCTATCTAAAGTCAAAGAAACAAACTGTTCAGCTTTCTTTTTATTCCTTTTTAAAATCTTTTTCTTTTCAACATGAGAACCACAGTACTTTATTGATTTTCTTGGTACTATTGCCTGGAGAACGAGGTTTAGCCGGGTGGCAGTTTCTTCTTTCTTCCTTCCCAAAGCTGAACATTCATACTCACTAGCTGCTGAACAAACAACTTCCCAGTCCAGAACACATAGAGAGCCAGAGTAACTGCATGTGAACTTTCTTGCTTAATTAAATTGACTTATCATCAATAAGTAGGATTTTGAAGGTATCTCCATGAAACTTGAAGAGCTGAAGTCAGTGTGGGCCTCTTGATTTTGCATAATCCAACCAAATCACAGAACTGTTCAGATCTGGTCATGCAGACTGGATACCAAGTCAAACATGTCAAAGTCTTTAACATTCTAAATGAATAAAAAATTTGTTCCAATAAAGCACCAGAATGTGTAAGACTGCACTTCTGACCTATTAAAGACAGGAAAATATATCTGTGGTTTAAGACAGAAAGTAAACTCATTATGTTATAGTATGACTAATTTCACAATTGTAAATTACATATTCACTGTTGTAATCAGCACTTAAATTCTTTTCCTTTGATCTTTGTGGTCTATATATTTTGGATATCTGAATGATATATCAACAATTTGCTAAACTTAATGAAGAACACCTACTTGGATATGAAACTCTCTAGTTCCATCCTAAAACAGAGTTTACCAAATCTCTAATAGGGTAAATACCTAGAAGCAAACACCCAGATGTTAATTCATGCCAATTTCCTTCTTGAAGACTGAATATTGGGTCTTCAAGACCCTCTAAAATTCATATTCTGAAACCCTGTCCTCCAAGCAGGTGGTTATCAGCTGGTGGAGTCTCCTAGGAGATGATAAGATCATATAGGTGGAGCACCCAGGACTGGGACTAGTACCTTTAAAAACAGACCAAAGGAAGACCCTTTGCCCCTGACACCATGCAAACATGCAGCAAGAAGGAACTGAGTCAGAAAGCAGCCCCTCATCAAATATCAAATCTGCCTTGAACTGAACTTCTCAACCTTAAGAACTATAAGGAAGGAATACACTTCTGTTTTTATAATGTACCTAGTTTGTGGTGTCTTATAATAGCAGCCTGGACTATGGCACTCTGCAAGTCTAAGTTTCTCAGACAACTGTCACAGGAAAAGAAAGACAGACAGTCTTTTCCATCCATTTCATTTCGGCAGTTACTACACATGCACTAAGCATCTTCACATTGCAGAGAGCTGTGAGGAAATCCATTGACTTTATTAGTGTTTTATGCCAAGTTCTCTAAGAAAGTCCCTGAACACTGAACCTGTCCACGAGCTCAGTAGACCAACATTTTCTGTGATGCAAAGGCATGGTTCTTGCCCCTCTGTGATGTAAGGCTCTTTCTGGATAAGATGGATGTCTGTATCCCTTCTATTTCTCCATCACTCAGGAAGAACAGAATAGGGGAGCCCACACAAATCGACCAACCAAGAAGACTCAGACACGTAGTCATTTGAAAATTGCATATTTATACTCTAATATTACTCTGGTTTCACAAAGCACCTTATACCGGATTTCCTAGTTGAGCTAACCCTTTCAAACTTGCCAATATTTACACAATTGTTGAAAATAAGCTGGTTACTCATCTCCAGTAGCCATTCTCAACTCATAAGTGCCCTTTTCAACAAACAGATCAGGTAGAA